AGAAACATGCAATCGACCACAACACCAATTGTGAGTGCATTATAAAATCAATTAATCGCATTAAATCAGCATTGAGTTGACAAAAAACCGTCAAGCGCGTCGCCAGTAAATCGGGTAGATAAAACGAAAAAAAAAATCCATAAAAGAGCATACTCGTATAACGGATCGTAGTTTAGAATGCCACCATCCGCACACATATCCAACACCCACTTCTGGTTGTACACCGTGGGCCTGCTGCTGGTTTGGATTATCGTCATAACGACAGCAACGCCGCTCGACCAGAAAAAGTCGCTAACCAAGGCCAGAGTTTGGGGCAAAAACGAAGCACAGGAGCAGCGTTTGGAGAAGAGTTGTCAATCGCTTTGCGAACAATGCGGCTGCATGGGTTTCTACTGCGGCGAGGAATGCCTCTGTGAGTTCGATAAGCACAGCGCTTTTCATCGAGGTGGCCAAAAGCGCAACAGCACCAAAACACAACCGCCGCTCACAAATGCCGAATGCATTGCCACAATGCAGCAAGATGCACAAGTGCAAGCGCTACCATTCGAAGTGCTCATACAAGGATCGAGCGGCGAACGCTTCATGCGCACAGCTATGCAATTCGATATGGACGAAACGCGCGCGGCGGCCGCTCTAACAGCCATGCCTAGAAAACGTGCAACTATTTCCATTTATCGCCCATACACGCCCACGCAAAGCAACATGCTACTGCAGGCGAACGAAAGCAAGAAAGCACTCAAATCAGCTGCGATTCGTCCACGCCGCTCAACAGAGCATCTGGATTGGTTTAGTGACTTTGCGACTACTTTAGTACGTCCAGCGCCGCTGCGAAAAAGTGAGGCGAACAGCGCCAGCGCCAGCGCCAGCGGTGGCAACAAGAAACGCGAGACGCAACGCAATGAAGATGACAGTACGCGCGAGAAACCCGAATCGTGGTTTAGTGATCATCCCAATCGTCTGTTACGTCCAGCACCGCTCTTTCGGCGCCATCAGAAATCACAAAAACCGGCTATGGAAGTTGAAGAGAATGAGACTTCCGATTCGCAAGACGCTTCAATGGCACCCGTTGGAGAGGTAATCAAGAATACCATACGAAATATACAAGAATCGGATATAGGTGAAGGTCTACGTTCTGGCATCCGCGATGGCACCGAACTCTGGCAGAATACGTTTCAAGGCAGCAATTTAGAATTATTTCCAAAACGTTTCCGCAATGACTTCACCGAAGTATTCGATACGTGGCTAAAGAATCAACAAGCCACCGAGGCCAGCATAGAAGTGCCAGACGTGCCAACGCGTGCAACGCAACCCGTACTCTTGCCTTGGTTCCGACCTGTGCGTTTCTTGCAACGCGTGCATCAAGCGTTGAACTGAGGGGAGTGGTTTAGGAAGTACCGGTTAAACACTTATACATAACTGCATAGTTTAATTATAACTACATAAGTTTAGTATCTTAACTTTATTTAAGAAAATTTGCAGATATGTATGTATGGGTTTGTTTATTTTTGTCCTACATTTATCTATGTACATATATTTCATATAAAATAGTTACTTTTTTAATAAAACACTACCTCATAAATAAAATCTGGGGAAATATTTTCTTAAGTTTGTTTGTTTGAATTGTATGTAAAACGTTTAAGTCTATCCCCAGCTTGGTACAGTCATGATGACAACAAATTAAACAGTATTTTTTTCTTCTTCTTATTTAGCGCTGTGACCGCCCGAGCGACAGCATTTTAGGTTCTCTGATCACATATGTACTCGTATAGGTTTTTCCCAATCACAATTTGGCCCACACTGATATCATTTTTTTGTTGTTGTTGTAGCGTCACTACAAGCCCCGCCTATTTCGGTTTGTCCATCAATCGTTATCGTCAAGCTCAACTAACGGTAGGCCAAAGATGGTCAGTTTCGACATGGTCGATGTATGTATGCCTGGGCAGAGGCACCGCCTGACAAAGGGTCTGTTGGGGTGCTCGCATTTTTGGCATCCCACCAGAAACTGCTTGCTGAGCATTTTGTTATGATCCCTTACAGGAAGCATTTGGGTCTCGCTCTGCAGGTGTTGCTCAGGCGACATCAGAAGGCACCCTGTCCCTGTCCGAAGTATTGCGTTTTGATAAGTGTGTAGCTTGGTCCACTGAGTCCAACTAGTCCTCGACGACCAAACAGGTGCAGCATAGTTCAGAACCGGCCGGCCAATCGCCTTGTATGTTGCCAGCAACGTTTTTCGTCTTTGCTCTAAGTGCTGCCGGCAAGCGACTTGAGCACCCAATTCTGCATCTCCTTAGCTAAGTTGCACCAATTACATATAATTAGATAGACAGGTCCTTCTGCACTTGGTTCTTTCATTGTGTGGGTGTCTTTGCTTTCATTGTTCACCCATAGCTGCTGAATTGGCGTGCATTTTCATCGGAATATCGCCACTCATGCGTACGACATGTCCAAGCTATCGCAATTATTTGTCATTCCACCTTCTTCGGTACCAGTCGTCAACGTGAACGGTAGATCTCAAAAACTAGTTTTCTCGGCATCATTTACGCTTTTGTGCTATAAAATAGGGTGACAGGTAATAAGATCAACGGAAATAAGGTCAATTGACTTTATTTCCCACCCTAATGCGAAATAAAGTCAATTGACATTATTAACTTTGCAAAAGCAAAATAAAATCTATTGACATTATTGCTCTTTCAGTCATTAAATTTGCCACACCACGTCACACATACATAGCGTCAATGACTTTATTTCCAAATTTTTGTTGACTTTATTTCGCTTTTGAAAAGGTAATAATGTCAATTGACTTTATTTTGCACCAGGCTGGGAAATAAAGTCAATTGACCTTATTTCCGTTGATCTTGTTACCTGTCACCATGAAATAGTTCTATTCGCTATGTAAATGCCAGTAAGAATTAGTCAGTAATAAAATTCAGAGAAGAAGGTATCTTACTCTCCCAAAAAGAGAAACTTACAAAGTTTTGCGCGAACAGGAATTAGCAAACATTTGCATGCTTCACTGTCAAAAATTCAACCGTGTGCCACAATCCAGCTTGCAAATTCTTACTGGCAAAAATTTTCCCGGCACAAATTTGCAACTTCCCCTCCAAATAAAACGTCAAATTGTGCTCTCTCCTTGCAAAGTTTTACTGGGTTTTTGGCCAAACGAACACGATTTGGTAACAATGGGTATCAACTTGTACAAGTTTTTTTCATAGCGAGGCCCAAACCCTCCCAGTTAAGGATCATAACATCATTCCTGTTGGGTGCTACCTGCAGCTACTTCCCTGAAGCCGCTCTTCTTCCCATGCATACCAGAAGCTATGTATCTAGTGAACCTCAGGGACCAGGTTCATATATACGTATGTTATACCCCGACCAGAGGGACTAGAGGAAAGTCAATTAAGTCTCGGAATCTCGCCGAGAGACTCGCGATATCTTGACACAATTTTGTTCATATCTATCCTGCATAGTTGTCCGATCACATTGTGCCCTTAAAGGCGTCACATTTTTTCCCTGCAGCAACGGGAAATTCCTGGAGGTAGTAATTTTTTGTTTCGCATTCGTTGAAATCCAATTACTTCTTCAACGCATACAGCTGCTTGGGCACATTGTGTGGTTCCACTGCTCGCTAATGTCGGTTTGTTTAAGAGTGTTTCCGAGCGAATATTTAGTTGGGAAAGTCGATTACCGAAGATGCTGATATTGTCTGTTGAGATTGCAGCCTTTCGATGTTTGTATCTCGGATCGTACGGAGGGCTAAAACACTGAAAACGTGATTTTTGATGTGGAGCATCAATACACGCTTTTATATCCTTTTATTCTAGAACCGCTATTCTACCGCTGCCAACTACCAAGTTTCGGGCTGCGGGGAAATAGATTATCGGGGGTTTTTTCATCATATCATGGAATATTTACAGGAGTGGTCATCATTACCTAGCGTCGAAGGTCTCGCTAGCATTACAAGTTTAACACCGTGCTCTACAATGTCCAACAAAATCCCAAAGCCCAATTATTGAATTATCATACAAAAATTCTCGAAACGACGTTATTTAAATTTTTATTAAATTTTTATTTTATTTATTATATTTACTAAACATAACACTATAATACAAATTTATTATTACATTTCATAAATTACATTACAAATTTCGAAAATTTTACCAATTTCGAAAAACATAATATTCTTTCGAACGTGTAAGCAAGACAGCGATATTGAGGATAGGCAAGGTATATAATTAGAGTTAAAAAAGGAGAGAAGAGGTTAAAAGAAAAAAAAATTGATACATATTAACGAATTAGCACAGCAAAAGTAAAGCTGAAATTTAGTTTATCGTTTTAATGTTTATCACAGTTTTGTATATACAAACAGGATGCGTTCAATAAATTTATAAACGAAGAAGTAGAATTACCAAGATTGAAGCATGGGGGCATAGAAGTGAATTAGAAAAGTAAGTAAAGCTCAAAAGTGATAGAAAATTTGAAGTGTTAAAAATAATTTCTTGAAACGGCAGTTTGTATTGGCAGTAAAGGTATTATAAAAATAATTATTTTATATTCACTACAAACTAAAAGCAAGGGACTTAAAAGTTAACACGTTCGAATGAAGCAATTTCCTTTCGTTTATATATATATATATATATTATTTAGCAGAAAAAAAACTATGCAAATTCGTTAACAATTTAAATTTGTTTTTGTAATTTGCCTCGATGTGCGTTTTGTGTAAATTAAATTTTTTGAGTATTTTTTTTTTTTTTTTGTTCGTAAATGCTCTAAATTTTCCACATTAACTTCTTGAAAGTGTGTATAGTAATTTTTTTTTAGTTTTAGTTTTAGATTGGCAGTTTCAGTTAAGCATTCTCAAAAATTTGAAAATTAACAACTACTCACTAAATAGCAAATACATATGTATATGTATGTAGGTATAGGTAAGAGCAAGAACAAAAATGCATTAACAAATTTTTCATAAATTTTAAAAATTTTTTTTTTACTTTCACTTTTGTGCAAAATTCGCGCCTTTTGTTCTAAGTTAGTAAATATTTCATAACAGCAAAGCAATTTAAGAATATATGTAGTTTTTAGGCAGGCGCTTCTGTCGGCGCGTGGCAACCCTCCACATTTTCGGGCCAATCGCAGACATTTTCTTGTGGATTGAAAACTAAGTTGGCAGGACATGGCATATGATGTTTGCGTTCACCTTCACACATGTAGTAGTGAGTGCAGTCACTCCAATCTTTGTGATAGCTAATGTGACCATCTTCCTCCTCGCAGGTGACTTCGTGAGCTAGAGCGTACAGAAAGCCATTAATTAATTAATTACCCCACTTACACTTTTAAACAATTTCACTTACGATCTTTTGTGGTGTAGGCGCCGCGTGGCCCATGCGACTCATAGGGACCGTCATACTCCAATTCCACTTTATATTCTTTCAATTCGTCACTCAAGGCATTCAAAAGCGGATACTTGCCTGCGCCGCAGCGGCCAGAGAAGTCATCCATATCGGTAGACCAAACCATAATGCCACCGAAACCTTGTTCCTTCAGCCACTCCATCTGTAAAGCAGTTCAATATTGTTAGTTTTGATTAAAAAACAAAAACAACACAAAAACACTCCCCCACTTCGTACTCACCTTCGTCTTCAGCGAACGTTCATCGTCGAAGCCCACCCACTGATTGCCACGATAGGCGAATGGCACCTGCTGTTCAGAGTCCCATACGAGCGTTGTATTTTCCGCCGCCAAGAATGAACACACCTCATAGTAGCTCAAGAAGCCAGCCTCATTCGTAAATTTACCCGGTTTGCCGCCACCGGACGCTGGTGCGCCTATATCGAATTGTGTCTCATTGACCAACTCAAATGAACGTCCATAAGTCGGCATGCCGATGAGCAACTTCTCCTTGGGCGCACCTTGTTTCACCCATTCGCGTGCGCTAAAGTCCACAGTCAGCTTCTTTTGGTAGCCCGTTGTCGCCTCCAAGGGGAAGAGCGGTGAATTGTGTCCAACAGTGCGTTCCCATTGGCCGTGGAAGTCGTAGGTCATTACATTAATAAAATCGAGATATTTCGAGATTTCAGGCACATCATAACCGGCAGCGATTGCTTCGAACGAAGCTGGCACTGCAGCGGTCAAGAGTAGACGCGGTAGACCGGTTGATTTCGCTTCACCCTCGAAAGCAATACGCAACTCGCGCAACAGATTCACATAGGCAGCACGATCTTCAGCACCACGTGGATACTCCCAGTCTACATCGAGTCCATTGAATTTGTAGTCGCGTAGGAATTCAATGGCTTCATAAACAAACTGATTCATTCGGAAGACATTCGAAGTGAGCTCTTTGAATGGCTTCGAACCGAAAGCCCAGCCGCCGATGGCCAACAGAACTTGTAAATCGGGGTTCTCTTCGCGCAGTGCGATGACTTGCTCGTAGTTTTCGGGATCATCGTCTGTTGCCTCGCTTAGCTTGTGATCTTTGAGTGTGGCGAAGGCGTAAACTACGTGCGTGCAAAGTTTAGGATCAATGTTTGAGGGCAAAAATTTGCCAGCGCCTGGTCGCTTGGCAGACCAACTTGTTAGATAGCAGAAAACTTGCGCCGGGCGTGCTGTAGGTGGTAGTGAAGATAAGCATGTATGCGGTTTAAAGACTTGAAACACAAAAATTTGTATGAAAACTTACTATTTTGCTCCTTGGCGAGCAATCCCGACTTGATGCGTTGCTTCTTCGCCGGCTTGCGCACCTTGCTGAGCACTTCCTCAACATCAATCTTGATTGGCTCTGGTTTATCCTCCTTAAAAGTTCCAACGAGTTCACATAAAGTTCACTGCATTTTATTTCAACCAAATAATTACCTCGTCTAAGTCCTCGTATGTAACCGCAACCGCAGTCCAATTAACATCCTTGGCCTCTTTACCGCGCGAAATACCCAATAACTCTTCGCGCATAGCGCCAATCAATGGATATTTGACTTTTCCGCCGCATACCTCACCCTTGAAATCATCCATATCCACCGTCCAGACCATAGCACCACCGAAGCCGTTCGATTTGATCCAATGCATTTTGTTGCGTATAGCGCGCTCATCATCAAAGCCGACCCACTGAAAGAAAAGCAAATACCCAAGTGTTAAATCGCTTTAAAAATTATTTCTTAACGCAAACTTTACCTGATCACCATCGACCATGTAGGGCACTTTCATTTCATCATCCCAGACGTAGACAGCGCCATTCAGTAGCAACTCACAGATTTCATAATAGGCCAGGAAACCACTTTCCTTGGTGTACACACCCTCGCGGCCGCCGCCAGTTGCAGGTGCATTTGGGCCATGTTTATCGGTATGAGTCAAGGTAAATGAACGTCCATATGTTGGCATACCTTCGGAGGCAAAATGTAAAATTATAATATAAAAGGTGCGAATTATCGCCATGCCATAACTTACCAATCACGAGTTTCTCCTTTGGTGCACCCATTTTAACCCACATGGCAGCCGCATTGTCCACAGACAATTGTTTACGCCATTCCGAATCTGTAGAGGGTGCATACAACGGCGCATTGTGGCCAGTCTCACGCTCCCACTTGCCATGGAAATCGTACGCCATCAAGTTTATGAAGTCCAAGTAACTAGCCACGGCGGGTACATCATATCCACCGCGTACATTATCGGGACCGACTGGCACGGCAGCGGAGAGCAGCAAACGTTGTTTCTTCAACTCTTGCGCCTCGGCTTCGAAAGCTTCACGCAATTCCTTCAACAACAGCACAAAGTTTTTCTTATCATCCGAACCTTTCGGGTACTCCCAATCCATATCCAAACCATCGAAGCCACGTTTACGCAAGAATGGTATGGCCGAGTAGATAAAGGTCTGACGAGCATAGCGTGTAGAGGACATATCCTTGAATTTTTGTGTGCCAAATGACCAACCGCCCAAAGCCAATAAGATCTAAGTGGTGGAACAAAATAGGGAGATATTACATGCTTGTTATGAAATTTTAAACTACGTTAATTCCGAACTTACCTTCAATTTCGGATTGACTTTCTTCAGTGCCATCATGCGATCATACAAACCGGGCACATTATCTTTGGTCTCATCATTTGACTCATAGGAGGTTAGTTTATTCTTCTTCAACCCAGCGAAGGCAAAAATGATATGCGTACACAAATCAGCGGGTATATCTTCTGGCATAAATTTGCCGATCTTCACGCGATACTGCGACCAATTTGTATAGTAGCAAACAATTTTCATGCCACCATCATCGGCTTTAGTCTTTTTACCCTTCAAAGTCGAACTGCTCGCTACTAAAGCGGTGCCAGCTGCGCCGGCTCCAATTGCGTTGCGTACCTTCGATTTTGAACGACCGCGTGCGCGTGACACTGTGGTCGTGGAGGAGGACGACGACGAGGAGGATGATTGTTGATCAACACGTTTTTCGATTTCATCAACTGGTGATTTTGTAGCACGTTTTGCAACAACAACACTGCTGCGTGAATCAGACACTGTAGAGGAGACGGATGTGGATGAGGGGCGTCGAAGGCGTCGGCGTGTTTTGGCTGAAAATTGAAAGAGATTATTCGATTAGCAGTTTGTTTAGATACAGATCAGTTTGAGTAGGTGTGGTATGGTGGTAAAATGTAAGCAACCATAGCAGTTCAAGATTAAAAATTGCCGCGATAGAGCGAGCTATAGATTTCTATTATGCATGAAAGTGGCTCACCGACTAAGCCCTCCAATATTGTGAAAGCGAGTTATTTAAGATTTTTCTTTAATATTATAGTCTGTCTGCAGATCAGCCATTATTTTCTTTGGACCAACCCAATCGAGTTATTATTGAAGATATCCAATCACGCTAAAGACCAACCCTTTTCTTGATATTGAAAATGAGGGGAAATAAAGCTGGATATTATGAGGAGCCGAGTCGATATAAGTACATATATACTAACATTCTGTAGGTTTCAGTCTCAATGGCCGACATTTTACTCATTAAAATAAATGAGAATCTTTTTAATGGTAATAAAGTCTGAAACCTTAAAGTTATCTACGAAATGAAATATAGACAGCAATCGAGTTTGCGTTTTAGAAACGGTCCGGATGTACTATAAGCGCTTATGCCTAAAACTTCTGCGGTCTTTTTTTGCACATGGAAGGCAAGAATGTCTTTGACTTCACAAGCACGCTTTGGACAGCGGCTTGACAATCATTGTAAATGAGCTAAAGTAATAAAGCGTAAAGGTTTAAAGAAATTCTGATGTAAGGGTCCAACAGTGGCAATAGCGTTTATTCACAAAGCGATACGTTTGCTACCAGGCATCTATCTGCTATCCCAGGATCGGTTCTAATCTGGGTTTAGAGCCCACTAAGTAAAACCGAATAAATGGAAATCCTCTACTCGGCTAGAGTCCCCGTAATACGGGGCCCGTATGCGTATGCATCTTAGTAGATTCTAGAATTTCCGATCCCTGAATAGGCTGGGTGCTTCTACTCGGTTGTTGAATGTTCTCTAAAGAGCAGGGGCTGATATACGAGCCACATAACAGACGCGTGCTGTAGCAAGGAAGCGTTAGGTAATAGATAGATATTTGTTCAGGTATACTCTGCGGCCAGGTGACCTACGACAGTCGGGTATACGTAATCGGAACGACCCGGATTTAAATTTGGCCCTTATTATGCCCTCTTGCTGCCTTAATCACCTCACTCAGTCCTAACTCCCTTAGGAAATCCAATAGGTGTAAAGGTTAGGTAATACAAATTTGCCTGTCCCTTTGGTTGCCAAGATAATGTACGAATTTATATCCTTAGTGGAAATACATTTTGCACTGAATTATATAGCTTTGTATAATTCCTCTCCAGCAGATGGGCTGTCAATGAAGATGTCTATTCGGAAATCCAGGTGTGGAAAAGACGTCAGCTGGTATAATTCGGTTATATGTTCAGCATCTTTTTAAAAGCCTTTCAAGAGCCGCGGTAGGCGTAGTTATAAGTGACCCTATGATAAAAAAAAGTGTCATGCCAGTCTTTTGTACTTTTTCCAACCGTCTGCCAACAGTTTAATTGTATACTGCCGTCCAGCATACTGGGATGCCAAAAGTTCTATTGGTCTTCAGATAGCTCAAAGTGATAGGCGAGTTATTGTAGCAATCATGTAAAAAAAATGTAAATTCGATGTTGAATTTGTAGTGGAAGTGATCTTTCACTAGTTACCAACAATTTTCAAGATAAGCACAATAGACGCTGCAGACGTTTATAGTCGCGAAACTTTAGAACTACAATTACAATTTAGAAGAACTTGATAAAGACCTTAGCCGCCGTAACCCAGTAGCTAGAAATTCTCAGAGCAGCGTCCAAAAAAAAATGTTTTTCTAACAGCAGTCTCCAAGCAATGACAAACCTTCGAGCGTATTTATGGCATCCAAAAGTTCGCCTTAAAAATCTAGGCACCTTTCAAAGTCGGCATAGAACTCTAGGGATCTATTTGTATGTTAACTTCAGACGCACATTACAAATTAGAGGTGAAGCTCAGCTAAACGCTTGGCGTCGAATATTTATTTACCTTAGAGCTCTTCGTTTTTTAGGGAAACTTTTTTGTATGGAACACTCTCAAAGAACAAAATCTACAGAGGCATTCGTGTAGCTGATCCTTATTTTGGATGAGATGGACCTTCACGCCAGCGTATATGGAAAATGTTAGAACGATGAGCTGTTTGAACTATACATCGATATTCATAATCACATTGCAGTGTATAAAGATGGGGCTTTTCATAATACCACTAACTAAATTCGAATGATCCAACTGTATTTTACACGTTGTCTGCAGATATTTTTAGGGACAGTCGTCCTCTACATTTAAAGGAACATTCTAATTGATACTAGGTAGCATAGCTTAAAACTATAGTTGACTTATTCTGTAGTCGATCAAAATCCTCTAGGAAGAACTTTTTGTCTCAACATAAATACATATGTAATACTTCCTTAATGTGTCTATCGGAGATAGACCCCTTTACCAGTAATATACCTACGTTAGAGAGATACTGGGGTAGATGTATGTATTTGTACTCATATAGGATTCAGTAGTGTACACCACATACATATACCTTCGGAGATGTACTAATGGGCCAGAAAGGAGCATTGAGAGAGTGCAAATTTGATCTCTTGCGGTCGATTCTACGTCATAAGATGAAACGAAATGTCGAAAAATCGTGCAAATGTAAAACTCATAATGAATATACATATGTACATAAGGGTGGTCCAAAATGCATGTGAAAAAGTAAAGGCAGAATTTTTATGCTCTCACCCCTATGATTTTTCTACACCGAAAAAATATACAATTTTTTTTTTTTTAAATCAAAAAATATTTAGAGGTCGCTCAAAGTGCTCAAAGTTATCCATGTTTTATATGGGTATAGAATTCTTGAAGATCAATATTTTTTCAATTGAAAATCTCTGTTTCTCTTCAAGTGAAAGGCCAATTGTTTATTTAACAATTTTTTTATAGCACGCAGAAATTGGAATGGGGGGACCAATGAAAAATTTTTTGGTATTAAAAAATGGCTAAAAAGGCAATTGGGTATTATTATTGGAAGTCTCCTGAACAGAACCAGAGTTTTCTGACCGATATTTTTTTCGATATAAAACAATCTTAAGGGTGAGCATTGCAATTTCGACTTTACTTTTTTTGGACCACCCGAATGTACATACATGCTTTATGGAGCAAAAATCAACAGTAAGGGGCATTCGAAAAGGCTCATAAAGCTTTTAGAGGAAGCTCTGATTGACGCTTTTAATTTAAGCCAGGAGTGACTATGAACTATCATTTGTTACTTAATAGAAGAGACCACGAATTTAATGGTTTCTCATTTCGTTGAATACTAACTTCCAAGTAAGCTGTTCAACGAGTTCTCGGGGCTTAAATTGTGCATACGCATGTCAGCCGCTGTATACCACATAAATACGTGGACTACTGTTTGACATAAGATATCACATAGACTGTCATTCTAAGAGGTTATATGTACATTTAAAAAATCCAATTAATTTTCGAAATTTCTAAGATTTAAGTACAAGATAATCGTTCGTAAAAAAATGTGCGTATGTGCTTCCACACTCTACCAGCCAACAGAAAAACGCCTCCAAATCATTAATCAACTTGAGAATGTCATTAATTGACACTGAGTACTACATTAGAGTAGATTTGTAGTGTCGAAATTGTAATTTATGAGATTGAAAGGCAATCAATTACGCATACATATATGCACATGTATGTATTTAAATTATTAATCGGATCAGCACAGATCAGTTGGCACTTTGACAAAATGCCACAGTCAAATAAATTCTCGAAAATTTGTTTCACTCGCATTAATTCTCTTTCAAAATCTCTAATTCCACCGTTTAGTGTTATTATCGTCGTCTAAATGATGAAATTCGCTCGTACATTTAAATTAAAACAAGAGTTATGAGCGTCACGTTTTGTTGATGCAAAATGATTGGGAATACAAAAAAATTGCAGCAAAAAAAAAACGGAAAATATTTTGCAGCTGCGGCAACTGCAAATTAAGTTAGCACAACTAGCAGTACGTACGTACATACATACAAACAACTAGTGGGTGTTTTTTTTTAGTTAAAGCAGTAAGGCAGTTAGGAGTACTAAAACAAAGCAGCCAAACTTCTAAACTCCACTAAATGCCTTTTAGCTACTTGCAACTGATAATGAATATTTCTTGAATCTCAGGCACGATTTCGTTGAAAAAAATAAACAGAAAATACAGTGAAACAAATATAATCTGCTAAGGCAAAAGAAGCCTCACAAGCCGACAAATGCAGCTGCACTAGCATCAACAACTACCCACAGAAATACTGACAATCGCATAAATTGCATTGTGAAGGCGAATAGTTAATTGCTTTTGATTTCCTAAACAGCGGCGGCTGCTAGTAAAAATCGGTCGATTGCTGCACGAAACAACAGACAATTGCCAGTTATTACCTAAACGTTTTTGATCTTTGTATTAAATAAATGGACGATTTCATTTTCTATTGATTCTTAATTATAATTGAAGATGATGCCTTTGAACTTTCAAGGAGATACATATGTACATAATTATTAACGCGAGCCATTCTGTTGCGGAAAAAGTGATTGTTTGAAGCTTACATATTTAGCTTTTGACACAAATGCCCAGTCAAAATGAGTCATATAAATATTAAAGATATCAGAAAGAGCTTCTAAATTTTTTATTTTTTTTGCCAGCGCAATTCATCTCCGTTAAAAGTGTCTGCTTAATAAGTTGGGGATCTTATCTAGCTGTTGTTAAAAAATCAGGCTCGCTCGATAAACTTCAGTTTTTCATATAT